TCAGGGTATCCCAAAATAGGTGTTTTGCACAGACGGTCCTTGAGTTCCTGGAATGCGATGTTGCAACTTTCATCCCAGCAGAAATGTCGCTACTACTCGGTTAGCTTATTCAGAGGTTTGGCAATATCCGCAAAGTTCTTCACAAATCGCCGGTAATAGGAGCACAAATCCAAAAATGCTCTAACCTGCGTCTTGTCTTTTGGAACCGGCCAATCGTTGACAGCGGCGATTTTCTCTGGATCCGTGGGGATATCTTCTTCCGATACTACATACCCCAAAAAGTTGACTTGCCATTTGATTAGTGAACATTTCTTCGGACTCAACGTGAGGTTGGCACTCTGAATCTTCATGAGCACGCGTTACAGATTTTGAAGGTGTTTCTCAAATGTACGTCCTACGATGGTGATGTTATCCAAGTAGACCAGACAGGCATCGCCAATTAGCCCGGTAAGTACAAGTTCCATCAGCCTTTCAAACGTTGCTGGAGCATTGCACAACCCAAACGGCATTACTTTAAATTGCCACAGACCCTTTCCCGTCGAGAACGCAGTTTTCTCCTTATCCTTAGGGTCAATTTCAACTTGCCAGTAGCCACTTTTTAGATCCAGCGTGCTAAACCACTTTACTCCTGTATGCCTGCATGTCCAGCGTGTCATTGATTCTTGGCAAGGGATAGCTGTCCTGTTCTTCTTCGTTCAGACGGCGGTAGACAACACAAAACCGCATGCTGCCATCCTTCTTCTTTACCAGTACCACTGGTGAACACCATGGACTAGAGGAAGGTTCAATAAAACCATCCTTCACCATTCCTGCAATCATGGTTTCCACTTCCTTTTCACGTGCTACCGGCAATCTTCTTGGCTGCTGACGGATAGACAATTCTTCTCCTGTGTTTATTTTGTGTTGAACTAAGCCAGTCTTTCCTATGTCAGCATCGTTTGATGAGAATTCGTCGGCATACTTAAGTAACAACTTCTTCGCCTTGAACATTTCGTTCGGGGAGAGAACGATGCGACAGTCTTCCAAAAGTGTGGGCACTCTCGTTTGTGCATCCTTGCTGGGGGTCTCACTGGATAGCTATTGGCACCGACCTAACCAATTCACTTCCTCACAAGTACCAACCCGCGTGCCTTTTTCTATAATCTGTTCCCGGTCACAAAGGTTCAGCTCACGTAGTCCTGAGATGTCAGTGGTTCTGATACTGTCCAAGGTTCGAGATACTTTCCATGGAAGGTCATTGTTTACCCTTTCCACAGGTACACAACGGTGAGCTTGCCCAGCGTTTCGAGGAAGACTAACCGACACAATCGTTTCCGATCTCGGCGGAAGAACAACCTTCTTAATGCTCTACACGTTCCCTGGTAACGCACCTTCCATAAAAAGTTCCTCCTGTCCACATATCTAAACACCTTGATTAACATCGATCTCACAACAATTATTCCTCATAAAGTCTAGGCCCAGAATGCAGTCGTCCATTATATCAGCCACGATGACATTATGCAGGTAGACCACGTTGCCTAGCTTCAACTCCATCTCCTTCTCTCCACGGACGGGTATACGCTGACCGGTGGCTGTTACCAAATTAATGCGTTCTCGGTTGTATGCGGAGTCCCCATGGAACTGACTTATAAGTTGGGAAATAACAACCGTACGAGAGGCTCCAATCTTCTCAAGGCTGTACACGTTCCCTGGTAACGCTCCTTCCACAAAAAGTTCCTCTTGTCCACATTTCAAGACACCTTGCTTAACGTCAATCGCACAACAATTCTTCCTCATGAAGTCTAGGCCCAGGATGCAGTCGTCCATTATATTAACCACGATGAAATTATGCAGGTAGATCATGTTGCCTAGCTTCAACTATATTTCTTTCTCTCCACGGACGGGTACACGCTGACCGGTGGCTGTTACCAAATTAATGCGTTCTCGGTTGTATGCGGAGTCCCCAAGGAACTGACTTATTAGTTGGGAACTAACAACCGTACGAGAGGCTCCAGTGTCTATGGTCAGTTTACACGGCATTCCGTTGACCTCGCCCTTGATGACTGTTCCCATCATGAGTTTGTGAGATCGAGATCCTTGGGGCTCTTTTAACATCAGCCAGCACCCGCCCCGCAGTTCTGGCTTTTACTCATTTCCTGCCGCTGCTGGGCGGTTCTGTCGGCCGCACTACCCTCCCGAGATCGATCACCTTCCCTTTCTAGGGTTCGCTTAGGGCAACTGGATCGAAGATGGCCCCTTTCCCCACAATCATAGCACCTATGGCTGTATCCTTTGTTGCGGTCGCGAACTATAGATGCTGCAACCTCCCTAACGCGATGGGAACGATGATCCTGCCGCACGGCTTCCACCTCCAGTGCATGGGCCAAGGCGTCCTTAAGCGTCTCGTGGTGCCCGAACCTCACAGCAGCTCTGACTTCCAGGTCGCGGATGCCGTCGATGAATGTCTGCACCAGGTTCCTTTCAGTGAGCGCAGGTACAGACCGGTATGCTTTTCGCTCAAGCTTCTTCACCTCTAGAGCCCACTACTGCAGGTTTGCGTTGATGCGCTGCACGCGATCTTTAAGCTGCGCACGAAAGACGTGTTCCAGGTGAGCGTCGCCATATCTCGCCTCCAATGCCTCAAGGAGTTACTCATAAGTCACTTCCTCACCGAGAGCTTCCAGAACTGTTAAGGCCTGGTCGCGCAGGCCTAGTGTGAGAGAAGTCATGGCCTGAATTTTATTCCAGCCGTTCGCCTTCATAACAGCCTCGAACTGGATTTTGTAGGCTGACCAAGAAGAAGTCCCGTCGAACGGTGGCACCTTGAACCCATGTAGCGAAGATGTAGTAGCTACTACGGGAGCTGTAGTTCCATCCCCAAGTTTGAGTTCGTCCAGTGGTTTCTTCTTTTCAGCCATTATTTTGTCAACCCGATTGTTCACTTGGTCGATTCGGGTTTTAGCTTCCGACAAGCGGTTGTCATGTTGAGCAACCTTATCCTTCACCTCCCTTATCTCTTTCCCGAAGATAGCGTGAATGTCCTTCATGATTAGCATCTGCTCTTCCTTATCGCGTTTGTGCTGCTCTTCCAACCGACGGGCCTGTTCCTCCTGTCGGTGGGCCTGTTCTTCCTGTCGGCGAGCCTGTTCCTCCTGTCGGCGAGTCTGTTCCTCCTGTCGGCGAGCCTGTCCCTCCTGCCGGCGAGCCTTTCCCTCCTGCTGCTCTTTCAAACAACGGGCCTGCTCCTCCTGTCGGCGAGCCTGCTCTTGCAGCATCACCATCAGAGCACCTAAGGTGCTGCAGATGTAGGAGCTACTGACGGGCCTGCAGCCGGTAGCTGACCCTCCAACGTCTCTGGCGTTGCACCACCAAATCTTCTTTCTTTTATCCCACAAACATTCTTTACTTTCTATAACTTCTATTAATTAATAAATATCGTATTTAATTTTTTGGCCATTTTTATTACAATGCTATATGATAATTGATGACAGACAGAATAATAACTGAGCTCGTGTATGGTGCGACGGCGACGGCAGTGTGGACAAATTCATACGTATTTTGTATTGCCGGCACATCGGCCCGTCAAAATCTCGCGCCACGTCCTAGCAGTCACGCCGATCTACTCGCAATTTCGGCGGCCGGGATGACGGCGCTCGGGTGACGGATGTGTGGTGAACTCGGTTAAAGTAAATGTATGTACCGCTACTTCGGCGCCGTCATCTCGTTCGCGGTGACGTGACGGTGACGGTGGCGGTGGACAAACGCCCTAAGTCTTTTTAAAATACAATTAATTCAATTTTTAAGATGTCCCTTCCTTCATAGCTCCGTAATTAATTCAACCGTATTTATTTATATTTTTATGTTATAACTAAGTTATTGTTTTTATTACTGTTTTTATTGTTATTAAAGGACTATTATTTATAAACCTTTTTATTCATTAATAATTCAATAATTTAATATTATTTTTGTTATAACAATATTAAAATAGAGAGTATGTTAGGGAGGAGTATGTTAGGGCTGAATCTGAGTGACAGGGTGAGAAACTGTGTGATAAAAGAAGAGTGTGGTTTGCAAGATGATGCGGTGACCAGGATTAAGAAAGGAATGCTTCGGTGGTTTGGTCATGTAGAAAGAATGAATGCGGAAAGACTAACAAAGCAAATATATGTTGCAGAAGTGAATGGAAGAGTCGGAAAGGGACGTCCTAGGCGGAATTTTGTCGACCAAATTGGCGATATACTAAAAATGGGCCAAATTAAGAGTACCCTTAACCGACGAGCATGTATGCGGATATGGATGTGGAAGAGGCGAGAAAGGTATGTCAGGATCGTGCTAAATGGAAGTCTGTAGTCTCTGCCTACCCCTCTGGGTGACAGGCGTGAGTGTTTATGTTATGTTATGTTTTTAATATTAAAATAATTTGTATTGAAATAAACGCATAAGTCACTTCTGCAATTAGGTAGACCTTGGTATCCATAGTAATAAATGAAACACTCAACATGCCCTTTAGGAATATACAAACCCCAGTTTGTTGGTACGTTGGACCGTTTTGACGCATCCTCCTTTCTTAAAAATTATTTACTGGCATAAGATAATTTATTCTCTAGTTCAGAAAATGTGCTGTTCAATCTAATTTTTTTGGCGTAGCAAAATATGTTCTGTATTTATGTTTGTGTGGCTATTCAACAACTGAATAAAAAGGTTTCTTTTCCATTAAACGCTTAGTAGTTTTGAGGCACTGTAATTTTTCAATATTCGCATTTTTATCTGTAACATTACTATCTAAATATCTATCTAAAAAGGTGATAAATTACCACTTTCAAAACTAGGAATATCACTATTTAATTTTTCTTATTGAAGGAAAATATTTTTCTTAACTGATTTAATAACTTCTAACTGTGACGGTTGAATAGTTTAATCTTAATGGGCGAAGTGAAACGAGATATAGTAAAAACTATAAATGGTGAGGTAGAAATACTTTTATTTTGGTATCTAGTTTGAATATATCCTAAAATGCATATTCACTTTTCTTGAACAGAGTTTTCTACATTTGTAATAGGGTCCGTGATTGTTTCTTTGTCTTGAGTTTTTGGTGATTCTGAAAAAAAAAACAAAAAAAAAACAAATTAATTTTTTCATTTAAATGTGAATAACTTAAACTTAACTCATTTAAATGTAAAATGTAACTTATGACTTTTGTGATAAATAGATAACATACCTTTAGGCTCAATATCATTTTGTAAACTTTCAGTATGGGTTTCAGTAGAACTCTGTGTTCGGAGACTTTCTGTAACAAGATTAACTCTTTGCCTTTTAAGAAACACTTCAACATAAGGTCCAGCATCAAATATCCGTCTTTTGCGATCCTCTTGGCAATGAAATTTTGTTGGCACAGACTCATCTGTCAAAAGTATCTTCTGACTGAAGCCCATTTTGTACTTTATGTAGTTAATTATGTCTTTTAGATCTGTAACATAACATTATTGAACTATTTATTTGTAGTATTTGTGCAATACTACAAATAAATAGTTTATACTTTTATATTTATATATTAATAAATAGTTGATACTTTTTAGATCTGTAACTTAACATTATTGAACTATTTATTTGTAGTATTGCACAGTAATATTTGTTGAAATTTTATTCATTGGTTCTTACTTTAAATTAATAAAAATAAAATACTTAGAATTCAAGGGGCATCCCAGAAATTTTATATAGTAAACCATGGAGTTTAGAGAAAAGGAGAACGGTCGCTGTAGAAAATAGTGTCCCAGCAATACGGACAAAATAATTGATGCGCTGAGATCGCTAAGTTGTCTCAACAAAAGCAGGCTGTGCGCTAGTTTCAAATGATCTATCAACGTTTAATATATGTGTATATATCATTCAAAGAAAAAAAGGAATTATTATTATTAATATTTATCTCAACTGTGAGAAACTCAAAATGAAATATGTCATGTCTGTGTGGCTGAAATCAGCCACATAACAGACTTGAGTTTTTTTGGCTATAATTTTATAAAACTTGTAATATCTCCAGTTCTTTTTTAAATTAAGGTTTTATTTTATTTATCCATTACTCAGAAGTAGTTTCTGTTCCTATTTCTTTAAATCATATCAACTGTAATATTATAATAAATTTGTTGTACTACATCTAAGTTAGGGCACTTATATTCATATTTATTTCATTGTTAAAAATAAAATTTAAAGAAATGTTTCATAATAATCATCATTTAATTACATTAACAGTACATATTTTAACAGATTTGTTACAAAATAGCAACCCTCTTCATACAATTTTTTTCAGCAAAACAATGTTTAAAACTTTCATTCTAAACCAACTACAATATAAAAGTTACCTCAATATTTTAATACATATTTATGTAAATAAGCGCTTTTAGTATTGAAGCTTGATGTTTACTGTAACTTGAGCTTATCAGGTAAGCAAAATCACAAGTTGTCCATGGGTATGCTCAATGGAACTAGAATAAGAGTTGCACAAAAAAGGGTCCTTTTTTAATTAGAAATTAGTGGTTACAAGAAATTGATTTTTAAATGATTAAGTTGTTTGTTTGAACAAACTGTTGTATTTTCCAAGATATACATTCAACTATCTTTAATTTAAGTTAAAAACCTTGCATGATTTCTAAGAACTTTCATAAAATCAATGCTAACTTATACAATACAAAAGTAGTACAAAAACATCCAAAATGTGTCAAGACTAATATGGATGAGATTAAGATTGATTTGTTTTAAAATATTTTGTTTTTAGTTTCTACTTCGTATTTATAATGAAAGAATAAACAGAGTAAAGGTAAACATAACTAAATTGTTCCCGTTGTTCTACTGCTCTTACGGCCGAATAGCGTAGCAGTTGGTGGTCCTGCCTCATACACCAGATGTCCCAGGTATATCCATTTGTGTGATGAACGTAGGTGTTTATACTTTGGCCATGGTTATAATATAATATAATAGAATAGAATGTTATATATTCAATATAGATAACATGTTATTTTTTTACTTTATCACTGTTTCGAAAAAACCTCAGTCAAGGAAAGACCCAGCGAGAAACCCAGCAGAACTTTTTTTAAATAAATTTTACACTGTTAATGGTAACAAAATATTTACAAAATTTAGTTTAGAAACAGCTTGGGAGCAACCACCTCAATCCCAGGGGTTATTATCAACCATGTATTCATTTATATTATAATAAAACTTTTCATAGTTTTGTTTAATTAAATATTTAAACTTAGAAATAGAGAGACCTTGTATATTTTCTGGGACTTTGTTGTAATAGCGTATACATTGCCCCAAGAATGGATTACTGAATCTGTGGAGTAAAGAAACTAGTATCACAAGCTTGTGTATGTGAGTGTTCACAAAGTATATATCACTTTTTTACTAAAACTACTTTTGTTTTGGTGAACATAAATTAAATTTTCGTTTACATATATTAAAATTTAACTTTTGTTCCGATCTACATAGATCGAAACAAAAGTTAAATTTTAATCTATGGTAACCGCGGTTAACTATGACATATGGACGTTGAACATCTCAGTCCCGCCCGTGACCATGAGTGCTGTAAAGCGTTCGAAACGTCGGGTATTTAAAAAGTTAAATATACGCGATAAATTCCGTAAAAACTAGTATTATTTCAATGTGTAGTGTTCGCGTAAATATAAGAAATCATTACGTATAACACTTACTCTTGTGTCAACTGTTTTTTTTTTGTGCTAACTAGATTATAAATAAATCTCACTTTACCAATTTAATCCATTGTTATTTTCGCCCAATCCCATCAAAGATACTTATATTTAATAGCCGTCTAAATAATTTTTTATACCAAACTTGCGTTCGCTTCCTTTCAAGGGGGAACGTGGCTAGCATCTGATCTTTACGATCGACACCACCCATGCAAATTTTGTAATCATGGATTACGGTAGGTATCACCGCACTTCATGGTTGCTAGTCCATGGTATGTCGAAATAAGTGCTACGTGATTTTTAACCCGCCGTACCATGAGATCCACATTCCCTGAAGTGCAGCTCTCTCACCTGACCGACAGCCATATTTTGCTTAGTAAGTGTCGTTAGTTCGACGGTTACAAACTGACGATTTGTGCGTAACGCTGTCAAATCCACGACACTTTAACTCCCGCGCGAGCGCAGGTGCGTTGTAAAAGTTGTCCATCCATATGCAGTGGCCTTTGTGCTCAAGACCAGTTAACAGTCTGAGCACAATGGATGGAATAACACCAGAAACTGGACTATCGTCTTGTGGTTTGTGATCTTCGTGTCCACGCAGACTTCGAAGCGCCACAAATAGTCAGATTTAGACTCGCATACTTTGTATGTTTTAATCTCCACTGCCGCTGATTTATTTTTGATAAATTGATTTATATCTAACCAGCCCTTCCACATCGTCAAGCTCTCATCGACTGCAATATTTTGGTCCAGATTATATAATTTGAAGAGTTTAAAATTTAAATGTCATAGAATGGGCTGTATTTTAAAAAGTTTTGCCTGCGCACTTGTCATTAATGCAGGATTGCATGCGTCGTTGTTTGTAAAATGAAGACACCTGCTCAACATTATAAAGCGATCAAAACGCTTCGGTGTGGTGAATTCTGGAGTACAAAAAATATCTTTATTATAATTCCAATACTCCTCTATACGTGTTTTAACTACAATTCCGGTCGCTTGAACTATGGCAAAAAACCCGTACAATTCATCCACAGTTTTATCGTGCCATTTTGTGATGCGGCTATTGGGGTGCAAAGTCCCTGTTTGCATCATGATCGCCGCTAACTGTTGAGCTTAGCGGTTCGTCTCCACAACGATTTTCTCCATAATCTCCCGGTCTCAAATTGCAACGAATGCTTCATATGAACTGGTATATTGGGCAGTGGGACCACAATTAACTGAACAGAACATTTCTCTCCTCTGCTCTGGTTCAATTTGGGGCTGCGTGAATGCTCTCCACTGGAAATCATATTTGTTGCGGGGCACAAGCTGCTCCTCATGTGGTTGTATTACAAGGGCCGGTGCTGGGCCTGCTGGTTGCTCCACAAGCGGTGTGATTATTATAGGGGCAGGTGTTGAGCCAGTGCACTGTTTCACATGTGGTGGTCTTAATGGGATGGGTGCTGCAGATCCCGAAGTAGAGGCTGAAGGAGGCCATGCAAAATTGAGCTCCGCCGATGCATTTCCCACCTCTTCGTTGTCCTCGAGAAACATTCTTAATGATCTCGGGATAAGCATAGTGGGAGAGCCCTCTTCCTGGCCATCCTCCCCATCGCTTTCTTAAGGAAATGAACGATAGAAAGTTAAGTTGGCAAGATGTTGGGGCAGATGAAAATTAAATAAATTAACGAACCATACTGAAGGTACTCCGAAATTTCATGGTCCCGTAGAAGTCTACTATAAATCCTACAACAAAATCATTAACATTAATTAAAACAGTAAGGAACAACAATATATTTGCGGTAATTGAATATTTTACTAAATATACTTACAAAGGACGTTTGCAACCTCTACTCACTACTGGGGCCCTTGGCGTGTATGTTGCATTTACGTGGAAGCTCCTTCCTGCAGTCCGAGGCGTGGTTGTCCCACTACACACTTCACTCTACACTCTACATACCTAAAAAAACATGAATACCATAATACCACAGATAAATACCGATAACATTAAAATTTATTACACTTGCATTGCCGGTGAAGGGACCTCCAAGTACCATGACGCAGCAGGCGTCGATGACTCAACCACTGGGACCACCAGAGAGGGTGCTGGCGAGACCATTTCAAACGGCGCTGGAGATGGTGCCGTTTATGTAGCACGCACCGTATCAGAACCCTGTCTGAATTATAAATTTGGATATGAAAAAGGAACAAAGATTAGAAATCTTTAAAATATATAAACAATAATAAGTGCTCACGTATGTGGCGACGAAGGCCCTGCATCATTCACCTCAACAGGATATGGATGTTGATGGCTTAACTCCAACAACGATGAATTTATGTTGAAGCTAAAAAATTTAAATACATTTAGTCAATGCTAAAATCATTATCTATAGTTCAATTAAGAAACAACAATAAAATATATAAACTGATGTTGGGGGCAAAGAGCGCTTTCTTTTAGCGTGTAAAGGACGCTCCAACCCATAGCCTTGCTGTACATCTTCTATCATCGCGCTAAATAGGCTAAAATAGTAATAATTTCCTGTAATTAGTATATACAAAAATTGATCAGTATAGAAAATCTTAGAACGTAAGTAAAAAGGCGATGATTACGGTTCTGAGGCGGAAGGTCTTGACATGCCCCTTCCAACTCCAGTAACAAGCGCGCTGCGTTCACCTCGCGCTCCGCGCCCGCCTCGTACCGCTGGTCCACCTCGCATTGTGCTCACACCATATGCTATACTCGTAACAACTGCCGCGTCCACACCAAGCGCCACACCTGCAGTGACACCACGTGTGCGTACGCCACCACGTGTGCGTACGCCACCACGTGTGCGTACTCCACCACGTGTGCGTACGTCACCACGTGTGCGTACGCCACCACGTGTGCGAACACCACCGCGTGTGCGTGCACTAATGCGTGAACGAGTGCCACCTCGTGTATGGACCATGCCACTGACACTCCTCTGACTGTATAAACGACAGTACCAACATGCAAAAGAAAAAAAAATAAGTCAAGAAAACACAAGACATTTTTTTAAAAGTAAAAAGAACACTTTATTTAGGTGGAATTTCGATCACTGCCGAACAGTTGCTGCCAAGATCAGAATACCATCTTTAGGTCAGAAAAAGGATTAAATATCTGCAATTTATTTCGGAAAATATAAGACGCAAAAATACTTTAGTTTTCAAATCCCAATGCCTCGTGAATGTTCCAGTCCAGTACAAAAAAGTAGACTTAAGTACCAGAAAAGTTAATAATTTGAAATACATGTATTTAAAATGCAAATACCTATTACCTATTTTTATTCTGTATTTTAAATAAAAATAGTCTTTGTAATATTCAAAACGGTCTTACATACCGAGATCGCAAGTCAAACTGGTTGTAAGGGCTATTACGCACTGTCGACTAGTCGCCGGCGACTCAGTCCCTCGGCGACCGAAACATGGGAAACAGGGCCCGGAGACCGAGCCGAGCGACAGTATTCCAAGTACATTCGTGCAGAATGGACGTTGAAGAACTTGCAATAGTAGCGGCGCTACTAATTATAATAAGAAAGACAAATAAAAAAAAAATCAAAAGAGTATTGGGTGCATCCTTTGTTAGAAGAATGGAGGTCAAAGGGAATGTTTAAAATATTTTATGAAGATGTTAGAAAATATCCTCGTAAATTTTTTAATTATGCAAGAATGTCTGTGAGTTCGTTTGATGTCTTATTGTGTCTTCTAAAACCACATATAACTGGCATAGATACAGATATTTATTTTTTACGGGATTTTAACACAATTAACATTACATTCCCGGACACATCTATCGGCCAAACCTAGTGTTTAAAGTGTTGACAATCCCTAGCTAAAAATAAATGTTAAGTGGTGCAAAAAGTTTTTATGCAGTTTTTTACGAAAACGATGGCCAGTAAATCAGCTTCACACCTGCAAAAACTTATTGCTCCTCCTAACATTTATTTTTAGCTGGTCTCCAGTCAAAACTTAAAACTCAAGGTGGGCCGATAGATGTGTCCGGGAGTGTGTTTAGAGTTACAGATAATGCCATCCACGAAGATGCGCGATTAAATTTAAATAGAGCATCTTTCGTGCTGTTCATAATACTCTTTCCTGATTAGTCAATTTCTATTAGTGTGCGTTTGCATTCATCGATAATTAGCGTGTATCGACAGATGTTTAACACATGCGGAAGATAGCACACATGCATTTGAACAAAGAGTGGGGCGCGTCTTCGTGGATGGCAGTATCTGTAAGTCTACTCTTCGATGACATAATTTAAAAATATACGGTAAATAATTATAAATCATGTATTTTTTTAAAGTACTTAATTAAATCAATGTTATAAACGAACGCACAACAAAAGGAAATATTCAAAATAGATCCAAAATGTCAGAATCTTGCGAGGTATTTGAAGTGACAGTAGAAAATCGCGACTCTGGGCGTTCACGTTCTGAAGGAGTTGAAGTTGGTAGCGTATAATAATGTTGTGCTTCAGGGCGTGATTGTTGACTTGGTGCTGTTGAACGCCCGGCCTCCGGTGTGAAGTAACCACGCTCACACTCGTACTCATTAAAATTTCGCCACATTGTGTTTATATATATATTATTTTATATCGATCGGAATGATTCGATTACACTGATTAATTGAATTTTCGCAGCTGACTTTTTTGTGCTCCGGAATTGCCCTAAATGATGATAATAGGGACATCAGGAACATTCTGTCCTCATCTTGTTCCAAAATATCCTCCTTATTTTTGCACTTGTTTAATGTGGTTAACAGTTCGCTTGTGCCATCATCTGACGTTTTTTTCTTTTTTCTTCCGACTATATTTTCTCTCGAGTAAGGTCCTAAAGGTTCTTGATCATTTGTAAAATGTTCTTGTTCAGCAATGTTACTCTCTGTGTTAAAATTACCAACGGTATTCTTCAAAAATAACAGCTGATTATAATAAATATAGGGAGTTTTATGGGAAGCAGCAGATCCGCTTTTAGTATTTTTTAATCTTCGTACTTCTCGCGAAAAGCAGCTTCTTATATTTTTCCATTTCTTTTGAAGTGAATGACCTGTAAATAATGTATATATTTAAATTATTTTTTAATTCCAGATATCTTGGAAGCGGTTGTAAATTTGTAGATTTACATTACTCATACAGACTTGGGATTTCAACTATAGCTGAAATAATAAGAGAAGTTTGTCATTTTATATGGGTTGTACTAAAAGACATGTGTTTACCGCAACCGACAAAAGAAAATTGGTTAAAAATCGCAAAAGATTTTCATTTACGGGCCAATTTTCCAAATTGCATAGGTGCCGTAGATGGTAAGCATGTAAGAATTATAAAACCATACAACAGTGGATCATTGTGTTATAATTACACTTCTTTTCTGTAATTTTGCTTGCCATTTGTGACTCTGACTATAAGTTCATATACATAGACGTTGGTTCCTATGGAAAGGATTGCGATTCAACTATATGTACAAATTCAACGTTTTATCAAAAGCTAATGAACAATGATTTGCAAATACCCGAACCTAAGCCCATTTCATCGACAAACCCTATACCAGTACCGTTTGTTATTGTGGGTGACGAAGCATTTGGACAAACTGACAAAATTATGCGACCGTTCGGTGGATCAAATTTAACAACAAAGAAAAAAATATTTAATTATAGGCTTTCTCGTGCACGACGCCATATTGAATGTTCATTCGGCATATTAGCAAACAAGTGGCAGATTTTTCACAGACCTATCAACGTGAATTTAGATCTAGTATCATGCATCATCAAAACATGTTGCGCTCTTCACAACTATGTCCGAGAAAGAGACGGATATAAATTTGAAGATACCCTGAGCATTCCTGGCTTTGAAGAAGTCCCAAACGGTTTCCAAAGAGCTACGCGACGTGGTGCATCATACAGAGATGTATTTGCTGATTACTTTACAACTGAGGGTCAATTATCTTGGCAGATGAGCAGTATTAATTAATAAAAAATAAATGGCATTTCGTACTTACTTTTTTTTTCTTCGTCTGATAATTCTTCACCTCCAAATAACTCCACTATTTCTTCCCACTGTTTTTTCTTCAAATCCCGATTAGCATATTCCTCACTTTGTAAATCCCAAATAGCTTTTCGGGATTGTATTTCCGATATAAATTTATCCGTGTCAAAACTCATTGTGCGCGGCCGTCTGGTCGTTACGACAGTTGCTCGCAGTGTGAATGCTTTCATTTGAAACCGTGCTCCTATTGGTCGCCGGCGACCGGCAGTTGCCTGTGCGTCGCCACTGCGCGGCGAGTCGCCGAGTCGCCCGGGCAACCGGTGACTAGGCGTAAACACCTATTTAAACTATACAATATTACAGTCGTCGACAACTGAGTCGCCGGCGACTAGTCGACAGTGCGTAATAGCCCTAAGTGTTTTTCTATATTTCAAACAAAGCAATTAATCACTAATCTCTCAACAAATTGATTAGAAATGTATTTAAAAAAGTGTTTTTTAAAAATACGTATTTTGAATTTTATACTTAAATACTTTAATTCAAAACTATTATATATATTTTACTTCAAACTAAAATATTATCAAATAATTAGCATTTTGAATTTTTAAATACTTCTAATAAACCATTTTTCCCATCACTGTCAAAGGCTTATCCATATTCTGCATCATTACCAAAACAAATGTCAAACCTAGTCTGTGAATTTGGAGGATATCAGCCACTTAACGACCGTTACATACTTTTGAAGCAATTTCTCACTTTTTACATCAAAGTATACTTTGTGCTTTCGTATTTAGCTTAACACGTTGAACGCCAAGAGAAAAAATGCATCTTCCCGTTCAGCATGCGTCGGTCAATGCTGGTCGACAAATAGACTTTCCATTCGGGCCGCGTCGGTCAGTGCTGACTGCGTTTTACGAGTGTTTTCAATCCATTCTTACAAGCTGTCGGGCAGCGCTATAAAACTAAATCCTATATTCATTGACCCGCATGGCCCTCTAGTTACTACAAATCAAGTTGGTTTTTGAAAAATGTAAAGGACTTAAACAAAAAAAAAAAAACAACAATTACCAAAGACTAAAAATGTTCGTAGAGAAAAACTTTAACAGAGATATCACTAATTATTCTGTTGAAAGTTTTTCTTTAAGCGTGGAGTAGTGATAAATAAGAGAAAATAATTAAGGCACTTACATTTTAAGTTTTAATTTATCGAGTAAATTACACCGAACTAAACTAAAACTAGGTTTTTTCATATCGGCCAAAAATGTTGAATTTATCATGTCGTTATGTTATGACTCTGTATGTTTTCGATCGATGTGGTATAGTTTCTTGTAGGTGTCGTTAGTATTTCAATAGTTTTAGATCTCAACCGATGCTTTGTAGACATGCGCAAAATGTGTCAGTGAAAAGAAATGAATGAAGTATATCTTTTCGCTCTATGACGTAGTCTACTCATTTAGTTCAGTACTTCATTTAGTTCAGCAAACCAAAACGAGTCCTTAAACCTAGGATATCGAGCTCGCAAGTGTGATTGATGAGTGAGTTACGACGAATGATGCACTTCACTTAATTAATTCACCTTTATTCCAATCTCGATTTTCCTTCATACTCTATACAGGCTTAGGACTGTCAACCATGAAAAACTATTTGTTATTGAGTACCTAGTATGGTTTCTGTTTTCCTTATGTATCTAATAGGTTGGCGTATTTAATAATCGAAATATGTACAGCGATTTAAAATTATTTACAGGATATTTATATACTATTTACCTACATCTATTTATAATTATACATTTACATACGTTGCTGATTAATTATTGACAATTACTACTTACAAATAACAATTGGGACAGTTTTTTGGTTGTTAACCGAGTCCTTCTTTCGTTCAAAATATGTCCGGCTTTAGAAAAAATTCTTTCGCATGGGACAGAAGTCGCCACAAGGTGCAGTCTTTTTAGGGCGTATTTAAAGAGGATTGGGTAGAACGACCGGCGCTCGTGCCACCAGCGCAGAGGATCATTGCACCGTTTTAAAAGTGGTTCCTGGAGATATTTATCTATCTCCACAATGCCAGCGGCCAAAGGATTTGTAGGTGTCAACTTTGCCACTTCTTTGTCAAATTAATCCCATATGGACGTCATGGCAGACACTGACGTGGATGTGGATGGCTCTGATGTTGAAGGCAATATCGTTGTAGTTTGCCTTTGCTGCACTGTACAGACTTTCCTCTTCAAAAAATTAAAAATAAAAATAAAAATTATTTATATGTCTGAATCCTTTATTTTTGAATCGAGGATCCGCTATACAATATGTGTTTCTCAATGTTGGAGAAACGCTTTTCTAACTGGTTGTCGAGTGTATTCAGCATTAACTGCACTCGCGTTGGAAGCATGGTATTATTTAAGTGCGCTTTGACATGATTATTCATGATGTCACACAGGAGGATGACTTTAGCCAGCGAAACATTCTTCTCGGCACTAATTTCGACGGTTATGTCGTAAAAAAATTTTAAAATTGTCGCTGCGCTTTCTATAACTTCCCAACCGTCGTTATTTAGCGCCAGCTCCTGTCGCATTACAGCTATTGTGGCAATTACGGCATCCTTGGCTGATAACAGCCGCTGGAGCATTTCATAAGTGGAATTCCACCGCGTTTGCACATCCTGCTTTAATTTTAGTTGGCCAAGGTTCAGTTGTTTTTGCATTTCTCGTAGCTTATGTTGAGCTTCAGAACTTATTTTAAAAAATTCGACGATACTTTTAACCTTGACCAACGTTTCCGATAGAGTCGTCAGAGCGGCTTGCACAGATAAAGTAATTGAATGCGCAATGCATGGTATATGCCATCTACTGTCATTCGCAATTCTCCATTCCATTGTCACTCGCAATAGCTGTTGTATAGTCGGCTGTATTCCATTCTGCCATTACATCGCATAGAAAGGCTTTTAAATTTTCGCTTGTGTGTCGTTCATTATATTCAACACAACCGATTAAATCAGACTTCAATTTAGTTTCATCCGATGTGGTGCTAATATAATGTAAAGTCAGGGCTATAAAACTATCATTGTTTATTGAGGTCCAACCATCTGTTGTCAAACAGAAAGCTTGTCCCTTTACTTGGACCTCACTTTTAACCTTTTCTATGCATTTATTATATAATTTGGGCAAAATACTTTCCGATATGGTTTTTCGTGTTGGGAGTGCATACTGTGGGTTAAGCAGGGAACTCAATTTTTTGGATTCATCATCTTCGACCATAGAGAAGGGGTAGTGCCCCTTAGCAATCATTTTTACCAGCTGCTCGTCGATTTGCTCGGCACGCCGTGATGGTAACGGCTTCGTGCTTTGAGTGTAATTTTGTATAGATGGCTGACTAGATGAAGAAGTAGCCCGAGGTAGATCTTGAGTTTCTATACTGGCAACTGGACGTATGTGGGGCTCTGGGCCTGCAGATCCATTAAGCTGTTGCTGTTGCCTTTCTTCAACCAACTTAATTGTGGGGTGCTTCGTTCTTAAGTGCCTGTTAAGGTTTCCTACATTACCACCAGACACTGATAATTCATTAGAACAATAAGAACATCTTGCCTTTTTAGGTCCGTTTTCCATAAAATGGTTCCACACGGCACTTCTCTTTCTATTTACAGTCTCCATTTTTAAATCTAAGTAGATATGTAATTTATACGTTAACACAAAAAATATAGGTACTAGAACAGTGAGAGTACGAATTCGTCTTTTTGGGTCCTTTTTCCGTAAAATAGTTCCACCACACAGCACTTTTCTTTCTATCTATATTGTCACTTTTAGTTCAATTAATCATTATATTTATAAAACTGATAGAGGATAAATACGATAATACAATTTTAGCTATATCTACCTACAATAAACGTAACGCACCGCGCAAGTCAACAAGTGCAGTATTAGACTATTAGTGCGTTCCGTTTCCGTTTGTCCTCGACCTCAAGTCGAACTCAACTTGTGAACTATGCGAATAAGAAATTCAAATTCTAAATTATTGCGCTTTATCTCCACCGCAAAAAGCTCAGTTTTGATTGCAATAGCAATGCTACATAAAGAGAGATGTCGATATTGCCGATCCTTCGATGATCTTATAAAAATACGAAAATAATAATTCATTACCTAAAGCATTTGTTTAGTTTACGTACATTTTTGTACGCTAAATTAAAGTTTATTGGTATAAACAGAAAGCTCATACTACTATGTTTAGACTAACTACACTGTTACATAATATTATTTGACCTTTCATGCACTGTGTCGTGTAGGCCTAGGCAACGCCCCGCAGCGCCGCGTCTACACGTCGGCCGGCCAACTCCAGCCGAAGCCGAGCGGCCGGCGCCGAAGTGACACGAACGAATCACGAGCATGTGCGAGTGAGTGGTGGAGCGAAAAGAAAGGCTGAACTAAATGAAGTAGAGACACATTTTTAATGATACTGAATGAATCATAAGTTTATTTTGCGAAATGAAGTAGTTAATTTCCTTCAATCGTTCGCGAACTACCCATGTCTAATGCTTTGTAAAATATTTAGCAAAAATTATAAGCAAAAACTGTTTTGTGTAGGTACGAAAAGGTTTATTGGGGTAAATCTATCTATAAAAATGAAACACGAACAAAAGATGGATTGTATCGAATAGTAATCAAAGTAAAAATAATAATTTTTCACAATTTTTTTCCACAATTTATTTAGGTAACAACAATAAAAGGAATACTAAAAATCATATATGTATGTTTGCAAAACATTCAACACATAGAAAAGGTTTATCTACACAAGTGTCACAAAAAGTACACACTTTTTTAGTTTTGTTTCTGGCCAATGCACGCCCAAATGTGTTCACATTATTCTTGTAGCACATCCGACGCACCTTCAGAGAAGGTCCTTCTTTTTTCTGAAGCCCGTGTTTCCTTCTTGTCGTCCGTTCTGAAGATGCTCCGGATGTGGAAGATTTTGCCAAAAAACTCTTTAGTATTTCTTTTCTGAAGTCTACAATAGGTACATGTTTGTTTGTGACAGTTTTATACAAAACTAAAGCATTCACCATGGCGATATTTAAAATCAGATCAAATGCAATTTTTTTTTGTACCATTTTAAAGTTTTTCTTAATGGTGTCTGATATGCTGCCATCTGATCAGACAAGTCCACTGCTCCCTTTGCTTTGTTATAATCTACAACAATAGCCGGTTTCATTTTGGTTTTATTATGCTTGGTAACTGAAACGAAACGTGTTGAATGTTTTGTGGAAAGCATCAAAACATCTCGTTTGTCTTTCCATCTCAAAACAGTGATCCCATCATCGCTTTCTCGCTATGAACTGACCTTTTTTCAGCTTAGTAGAAACTACAACTTTAGGGAAATGCTTTCTATTTTTCTTAAAGTGCCAATTAAATGTGTTTCATTTCTGAGGAGTTCTCTGGCTAAGCCTACGCTAGTGTACCAATTATCTGTGTACAGCGAGTGTCCTTTATTAAGTAAGTCCTGGCAATGGTTCATTACCACTCTTTTTTGTTTTGTTTTTGTTTTGTTCGTGTTGTTTACCAGCGAATTACGTTAGCTGCGGCCGGAGGTTCGAAAAAAAAACCAAATTTACTTATAAAATATATTTAAAATAAAATTACAAATTATGTTACTATAGCTAATTAATCTAACAGAATGAGCCTTGTGTAAGTGAGTACGTGATATTTTATACATCCGGCACGTGGCTTGAATTGCTGCGCCTGCATTCTTGTTGGTTTACATAGCAACTGTTCTAGGTGTAGTAGTCAGCGATCTTCATATCATAGGTATATGTAACTCCTCCACCCTCAGAACGGCAACTATTTGAGTATGTTCAGAGAAAATGTTGCCGGAATTTCGGAGTTTCCATGATCTTCTGAATTAGGTGTTGGTGATTGCGCTGCTTTGCTCGTTTCCTTTCTGCATCTTGATATGTAGCGACGGGTGGCCAGTACAATGATAAGGATACCTCCACTCGATAATATGATATAAAAGGGAATTGTCGTATGATATAATGTGTCACTTATGGCACGTAGTTGTACTGGTGATTGCATGAGAATTTTGTCTTGGATGCTGTGTAATCCTTGGAGATGGATTGAGTTTAGGTGGATGCGGGTAGATGCTGTAGCTTGTTCCGGAGATCTGAAAGGTAGTCCAGTGAGCTTTAGAGGTTGACCTTTTATCTCATTATTGTCGTTGACGATGGTGAATTCGGCAGTTTTGAGAAGACAGCTGGCTGGAATCGTAATGAGATAACTCCCTTGTAGCATGGTGAATTCTTTTCTTCCGCAAGACAGTTGTACCTTGGTATAGTGTGGAAAGGACAGGATATAATGCTGGTCATCTAGTTTTTCCATCGCTTCTTTTGACAGGATGATAGTAGTAAGATTGCAGGCTTCTTGTATGACTTGCTTGGTGATCAACTCTTGGATGCAATCGGGTTGTGTTCGAATCTGATAGGCAGTGCGTTCTTCACAGAGATACCAGTGGTTAAACTTCGGACATTCTGTCTCAATGTACACGAATGATAACTCGTTAGTTGCTATGAAGGGATAGGTTGGGATAAGGGCCTGTGAATTTTTATTTGGGACAATGGATAATCTATATAAATCAAAATTATCTCTAGAAGTTATAGGAAATTTAAAGATGAACACGATTTGTTTCTCCGTGTAATATGAGCCGGGTTTTATTACTGACGTAATACGTCGACGTACGACGTCATAATAGTCTCTGAGTTCTAAATTTAATATCTGATCTGAGCTGTAAATATTTCTAAGCTTACTTAACATGGAACGTAATACATCTATATCTATCATAGAATGGTGCGTGCTAGATGCACGAATAAAAGCTAAAGTGTTTTCTATTCTAATTAATTCTAGCATTAAGTCCTCTACATTATCACTAATTATTTCTAACAATTGCGCGAATTTAGCGTATTTAATTAAACTAGTTTGCCTATATGCATTACTATTTAATATAAGTATCAAAGTCTCATTAATTTTCCTTTGATTTTCCGCTATCTCAATAATTGCATTACTATGCTTAGACATCCATTCTTTACTTAAGCTGAGATGTTGATCGAATTCGGATGCACGCTCAGTTGATTATCCTTAAGGGTTTTAATTGCCTCGTTATATCTTAACGCGTCTGTATAATCTAAGTTACCAGTTATGCTTTTTATGACTGAACCAAGACTATCTATAAGACCTCTTTTAGCTCTATTGGGCTCTAGGGTTCTGAGATGACTAACACCTTGCCAAGTTTGTTAGACAGATAATCTATTTGGATTTTGTACAGTAAATAAGTATCGTTAGTCAGTTGGTTTTGAAAAGTGAGTAGTTGATTCTGTAGGGAGTGGATATTATCTTCAATGTCATCAAGTCGTACGTACTGTAAAAATGTATGATAATGAGTAGTCAATTTCGTGGGTCCTAGTTTATACGGTAGTAGTCCTGGTCCGTCTGATAGACTTTCAAGTTTTATCTCTGTCGTCTGGGTCCTTTGAAGGAGCATTATTAGCAGTATCCTGCAACAAATTAACTGTTTTAGGAACACGCTTGAGCCGTGATTTTGCTACTGGACCACGTTTTTTAGATGTATAAATATGAATGGGTAAATCGGCTAATACAGTGTCCTGAGTATAACGTGGTGCGGTTTTCTGGCGGGTGGCAAATGGATTTTTAATAAAAACTTGCTGCTGCGGCGCATATTCTATTTCCGGTTCGCGGTCCTTATTCCTACTCTCTATAATGGCTGTGCGATTGGCTAGTGACGTGCTATTAATAATTTCGTACACCTTTTTCATTTGATCCCTATGCGTCTGTACATACTGCTGTAGTAGTTTCTGGGTTATGTCGATGTCAAGACAGTCTCTATGGTCAAAGTGTCCCGTTAATAAGTCAAATGGTCGACATCTAGTAAAACTGTGTATTGAGCTATTGTAGGCTATTATTGCGTAAGGCATGAGATTGATGACCGGTTCGTCCTTATGTTGTAATTTTAAAATTCTAATATGTTCCAAAAGGGTCGAATGGAACCTTTCAATATTACCGTTATCGTTAGGAGAATGGGCTAAAATACGATGGTGATTTATCTTATGGAGTCTAGTAAATTCTAAGAATAATTGATTAGTGAACTCTGTTCCGTTGTCAGTGATTATTGTTAAGGGAACACCGTGATGGGTACAATATTGTAGAAGGGCCTGTAATATACTAATAGCGGTTCCGTCGCGTAAATGGTAAGCTTGTCCGTATTTTGTAAAAACGTCTATAAAAGTTACATATTTTTCACTTTGAACTGTAAAGAGGTCCATGTGAATTATCTCAAAGGGTTTGGTTGCAGGTGGTACTACATTAAATTGCGGTCTTACTGGGTTTCTATCATATTTGGCCTGTCCGCAGATGGTACATTCGTTAATAAATTTTGTAATATGGTCTTTCATTTTTGGCCAATAGTATTTGCGAGATAATGCTAGATAACACTCATTAATACCACGGTGGTTGGTTTTACCGTCGTGATAGTGACGAATAATTTCTTGTTGTCGCAAATATTCCTTAACATCTCTAATTCGAATTTAGTTAAAACAAGGTTAAGTGAAGAGCTTTTAAATTTATCCTGTAAGATTGGTATTACTTTATATAAT